CAAGTCACCTGGCCCAGGCTCAGGGGGGCGGGTTTTCTAGGTGGATGCCGTGGGGGAAGCTGGGACGAGGAGGTCGGCAGCTGTTGGTCTTCGGCATTTCCGAGTCTGCTGATATCATGGCGGACTCGCAAGGGGTTGGGAGTCATCTTGATACAAGTCTGTCACCCTAGATATATGTGCAGGTGTTACCTAGCTAGTCGATGGCTAAGTCAGTGAGGTTGCATATTTAACATGAGATAGAAAGCGTAGCCAACGCACGGCGAGGATACAACATATCGGAGATATCCGGACCGTAGATAGAAATGAACAGATCAACTAGTCTGAGTATCTTAAGGACGGATTGCAATGCTCAACTGGCGCAGTTTCCCGACCGGTATCCAAAGTATCTTATACAGGACAGTCTACCGGATAATGAAACTAGATCTAATATCTTAGGGGTCTTGACCGGTGGATAATCTGCAGGAAACGCAGTGATTGAACGCAAAAAATAGGCCGCACGCACCAGTGGAGGAACCATGGTCCCGCGTTGTCCGTCTCAAAACGGATGGTAACATTGTCAGTATTGACGGGATCATTTCCACCGACGCTAACTACATCGCGACGGACTTCGCAAGGATATGTCAGGCGAGTGATACACTTTCATAGACGAACGAACGTGCCTGGATTATCATAATTGTACGCGGTGGTACCGGCACTCCGAACCACGGAGAAGGTATGCTGAAGATCTCCTCAGTGAGACATGGGAAGAAGAACAGCGGATGACATCTTACGCCGTGCAAGTGAATTGGATGCTGTTAGAGACGTGCCTTCAGCTGTTGCTACGGTGAACCAAAAATGGAGGATACGGACCGGAGCCCCCGCACTCATCCCGGCGCCCATCGGGAACGATATCTCAACGACCTTGTTCGCTGTATTCACAAATCACATTAGCACCGGGCAACTTGAACGGAGACGACATGCATACCTGGGAGAGATATCACGCTGCCGGGTGGCATTAGGTCACTCGCCTTCTGCGCCCCGCTGAGGATCTGCAGGAGAACCGGGACGGGCGGGTTAACATAAGCGGTGTTGTTAACAGTAAACTGCGCTCCGTTCTACCATAAGAAAGACTGAGTGACGATGGCAGGTAGAAGGCGGGCATGTCCACCCACCGCAAAATCAACTTCGAGATTGAGAGCGAGGTCGACGCAGCCCTTGCACTTCCCGCCAGGCTGAAGAGCCAGTCATTAGAGCGAATAGCGAGTAAAGGGGCACTGAACTCACGGCTGCGGGGTTCACGAGGGGCTTGAATTAACAGATGCAAATGTGAGTACATCCACCACGGTCCCCCTGACATTGCATATCGTACATACGTGGAGGTCCGTCTCCTTCAAAGGAATGATACTCGGTGTTTGGGTAGTAGTCGGTTCTGAGTTCATCGCACCGAGGTAACGCAGAATTGCAGCATTGACGCCGTTGGAATTATGGTTGAGTGAGTCGCCGCTACTTGGGAGAGCACGCATCCCTGACATAATGATTAGTTGGGTTCAGATATCTTCACGTCATTCATACACACAGTAATTCTGGACTTTCTGGTTCGCTTGTAGCTGAAAGATATTAGTATACATCGGTTAGTGAAGTCCCAGTCGGGGAGAAATCCGCTCACGATAAAAGAGTACCGCTGGCCTGGAAAAAGACGTAGTTCATACGATCTGTAAGACTGGCTGGAGGTGGTAAACCTACCAGCAAGAATTTGAATCGAATCCACAGTATGCGGCTGGTGATTTACACCATCGACTTCGATGATTGTCATATTATGCCCATCGATGCTGAAGGTGAAATTGGGATCACATGACATTGATATCAAGCGCATACGGTAACTATGGAGCATTTAAGCGTCACCTTCACATTACAGTTGATAAACGTACCGTTTGCCATGCTGTACAGATATCACGGATAGACTGGAGTTGGTGACCCCAGGGTAACGGCCTTTTCCATTAATCACGACCGAGTTGGCCATGCTGCGAAGATGGAAGTCAGTGCTGGAACTGCCTTGAGTGTAGGGTAACATACGGGAACGGTCCTGCTTTAGGGTCAGTGGAGACTATGTGATACCTAGAAGAGGGTTCGAAATCAATTTTTGGTACTTGGTATCATGGGTAGGTCCTACCAATCCGCAAGCGTTATAATGGTACTCTCTGCGATCATTCTATCACTCGTTGCCCAGACAGCCAAAGAGGAGATGCCTTACCATCATCGACATCGTACATCCATTTGAACGGATCAAAGGGATCATAGATGACCAAGGGTCCTCTCAGCCCGTCGCAGTACTGGTTCCCGAGATGCGAGTGATACCAATATGTCCCGGCTTGGTCGGGGACACTGAAGTCGTACAGGAATGAGCGACCGGGGCTGATAGGACACTGTGTCACCATCGCCGTCCCGTCAGCCCAGTTCGATCCGCGCAGGTACAGACCGTGCCAATGCTACATGACAATATAATCGTTTGGGTAGGACACGAGCAGGCGCAGAAGTTAGCACGTACTACTGTGGTGCTCGTGAGCATACTGTTGTTGGTCAGTTTGTCTTCCACATTGATCTGGAATCGCTCGCCCTATCCACAGAATATTAGACGTTGTCTCAGCCTTGAAATCTGCGTACCTTCTGACCGCTAATAAGAGGGCCGGGAAATGTACCACCGGCAACGACAGTCCTGATTGAAATGAATTCAGCAATGCCTTCGCTCATAAGAGCAAAAGGAGTTGACTCACGACCGGCTATCATATCCATCCGGATTTAATTGAGTGTTCACAATAGGAAGATTAACGTAGGTGGCGTGGACATGTCCAGCAGTCGCAACGATTACGAAACTAGTAAACTTGACAATGATTGACATTAGTACCATAGTCTATCAGGGCATGCAGAGGAAATGTGTCGCAGGCGCAAGTCTATACTACTCGACGCCCCCAGATAATGATGATACTTTTATATTCTGGCATATTAAATGTCGTGCCTAACTCTACGAAAGCTATGGCAGTGACTGATTTCTCTCCGTAGTAGAAAGCGCAACATACGAGTCATTCCTTGACTTGGTATGGGCGGTGAACGTGGTAGCGGTCATAGAGATACGATGGGACAAATCTGGCCTTTTGTTGTGAGAATGGTGAGCGCAGCAGCTACTGCAGTCTGCCACACAGAATGTAGCGATTGGTCATGCTCATCCGGTGGTCCAAAGAGTGATCCAGGCAGCTGTTCCACTTCATGTAGCTCAGTAGACATGAGTTTAAGTATCGTCTCAGATACTATACGGCAGTTCGAGACGGATACCCATAAGATCTTGCAGAATCCAGCGGCGGATATGACAGATATGGCAGTGCGGCCAACATGATCGCACACGGGCGGCATTTACATACCGATTCTTCCAGAGAGCGCAGCAGGAGAGAAAGGTCAGGTCATCAGAGTCACAGCGGTCTCTGGTAACTGAGTACCGAGCGGCACCGGGCTGTACTATCAGTGATAAAAGACATGAGGAAACAAGGAGTCGCCGCATCTCACGCTGGACTTGAAGAACGACTGCCTATCACAGTCAAGCTTGGGATCACGCCCGATGCTCTGTTTACAGCTCGCTGTTGTCGGTACATGCCATAGATGCAGAGCTTTGCGTAGTCTCAGTGAAGCCTCAGTCTCAGGGTAATGAGTGACGCGAATACATGTACAATGCCATTGGCCAGTGGCTGTGTCGCGGTGGTTGCGCTGGCAGCCCAAGAACACTCTCAGTCTCACTAGGTGTGCTCAATTCTGCAATTCGACCATTCGCTCGAGCAATCGTTCGCGCTTTCGTTCGCGCCAGGAATAGCTCAAGAAGTGATGCGGGAGAAGGCCCAAGGGAGCCGAGCGTCTGCTCCCTCGAGCGGCTCGAACTTCAAAGTTTTGCAACGCCTCCTATTCACTGGCAATAAGCTCGTTACATGGGGTAACGTAGTAACAAAACATATGTTTAGTTCCTGTCATCGTTATTTAATCCCCGTCCTACGGCGCAGGTCCAGTAGTACATTCCTAACCATATATTTGGGTCACACAGAGAGCTCGAGCGAGCCAAACCAGCGAGGAGGAGAAAGTCACATGATTATTCGGCCATCTCCCGCATCACTTCTTGAGCTATTCCTGGCGCGAACGAAAGTGCGAACGATTACTCGAGCGAACGGCCGAATTGTAGAATTGAGCACACCTACTCTTTCCTCAGCAACTCCGAATCTGTGGAATTGATAGTCCAAGTGACCTGAGCACGATATTAGCAATTTATCTGCTAGATCATGGTGTGTTTAGTTTTGTTGTTTTTGGTTCACTTCATGCATCCTTTTCCCGGCGCCGCCGATTTACGGGAAATACGGCTGCATCCGGCCACACGGGCCAAGTCCGATTGCTGGCATTAGAAGGCCTGAAGTGTGCACATAACTCAGACCATATCAATGCTGACCTCCGCAAGCTCTCAATGCCAGACGCGGTCGGTCCCATTACCACATTTGTCCAGAAGATCATGTCGCCACACCCGCTGACGAAAGTTGCTGTCACAAAGACGTGTAGAAAGCGGGTTGTTGCACGACTATACGAGGGCTATACCGCGTGGCGGGTTGCACCGGAGGTTGTCAGTGGCGTATCGCCGTCAAGTCAAACTGTTTCCACTATCGTTCATGCCGGGGGACGTCCCTGGGAGACTCCATCGCCCCATGAGAACGAGCCCAGCCAAATACGGGATGCTCTGCTTAGTTCTCCAGTATCAGAGCACTTGGCATGCCTTCAAATTGAGACGCCCATAGCGACAACAGACTGGAAGCGAAGAATCCAAGCCGAACCTCCTCGTATAAACATTGCGGATGCGACGAGCACCGAGTACCTCTGCGCAAGTATGGGAAAAGTATGGGAAGCATCGCAGGCGGGTCAAGAAGAATTAGATTGGATCTGTTCCGGGCTGCTGCGGCGCCATTGGACAAGTGCACAAATGCACAGCGTCTCTCAGAAAGATGATCAAGCCTTACCGAGGATGCTCCCCGCTATAAAGGGCTTTTGGACGAGCACTTCATGTTGCAGCCCATAGAGATGTGGCTGGTACATACGATTCCCTACGCAGTCCCATGAATGACTGTGTAGACCTGAGCCTACTTGTGTCAGATAGTTCTGAGTCGTCCGTTGTCAGACCACATTCCTCCTTCTAAGAATTCTGTCAGTGATCCTATACAACTTCTTAACGATGACTCAGAGCCAAAACGGTACGCACCCAGTCGATCCTTTGGTGGCTGCGGGTCCGGAGTAAACGCCTGGTGGGGCGTCCGACCGTGGGAGGGTGAGCGGAGGGCCGAGTAACAAAAACGTTGAGAGTCAAGAGAGTGTCACCAGGAATTATAGATCCTTAGCATGATGGCTTAAAATCCTATAAAACTGTACTGCATTGCGAACAGGTATGTGAGGGTATCATTCGCGTCGTCCACCGCCTTCCGGACTAACGCAATTTGAAAATTCATTAAAAAAATTATGATTCCCATGTTCTCCGGAGAGAGAAGGCCTATCCAGTGAAAAGCAGAAGGCAACAGCGATGTGGCGGAGAATGTGGCATTTGGCCGGAAGAAGCCGGAAGACTGCCAAGGGGTGAGTTTGCGTTTCTGCGGCCCGATCTTCCCGCCACGAAGTGACCTCATCGCCGGCTACGCTGCTCTCCACAACGCTCACGGTCGACGATGTAACGTCGACGCTGGGACATACGCTATCATATTCGTCTCTACATCACCATTGTTACTATGCAGACGCGACTTGGGCACCTCATTCGGCGAAGCAATGCTTCCGCTCTGCATACACGAGATGCTCGAAGATTATGTCGAAGGAGCTACGCGACGAGAGGTGTAGATCGAAATACGACCTCGCCGCAGGTGAATGCGTCTAATGTCGAGGAAGTGGGCTACCGGCTTATTCCAAATCATAAGGAGGGGAAAGCTGACACTAGTCTGGACCCCGCTTCTTCGTCCCCGCATGGGAAGGACACTGTGCAAAGCACTTCCGTGAGCAGAGCAGGCTGTCTAAACTGTTTCCACTGACACCTATGAGTTAGACACTACCCGCGGACCAGGAAGAAGACTCTCCACGATCAAAGGTCAAATCCCTCGCCGAACGTGACGAAGCGCTGAAGAGTGCGCTCGAAGACATGTCTGGCGAAGGCGGGGCGGCTGGGCTTGAGCTCGAGGACGGGCAGCCTGTGGCTATGAAAAGGGGCGTTCGGAGTAATATGTTCCGATACATCTAATGGGGCGGCCCCGGTGCCTCGGAGGTGCAGATACACGAATGAAATTTGGGATCAGCGATGCTTAATGTGTATCCATATGAACGTTGATAGATTGGCAGAATGAACTGTATTCTTTAATTACATCTTCCCGTTTGACTTTTGAGGCTAAGATACATCGTTATGGGCCACGCACCAGCGATGTGTCTTTCCACTGCATTACCTGAATTCATCCGTTCGCTCTTTGCATGACGGAGGAGATAGATGAGATGGAGAGTTGGAGTAGTCTCGGAATCCGAGGAGGCAGCAGCTTCTGTGCCAAGTCGTACGGCCATTGGGATGAACTAAGGATATCTCACCTGACTAGGCCTTTGACTGAGATCCTCGCACCGGTAGTTCGGATCGATTGCCTTTAAAGAGAGCAAAGGCTATTCGAGGTAAGTAGCTAAATCAGGAGAGCAGATCGCTGAGATGAAAGGATCCCTAAAACTGAGCACATGCGCTAAGTCATACAGATGGACGTAGTCCTGAGACGAATGCTGAATTCAGGGGGCAAGGAGGGCCCAGCTAGAGCGATGACTCGGCTGACATCGGAGGAAGACTGTCCGCTCATCCCCACGTAAACTGGACCAGAGTGAGCCCTGAGCTTAGGAAGATCCCCGCAAAAGCTTGTTTTAGGACGATCAACCTTCGAGCTGGTTGATTGTACCAATTGCAGAGTCGCTCTTGACGAGCAGATGCGCCCTCCGGGCGCTGGCGGCGATATCTCGGGTGCCAGGTTATATAATCACCGATAATTGCGACTAAAATTCTACGAAAGGCCGATAGGGTGCACTGTTGCAGTTCCAATGGATGACCTTGATAAGATGCACGTCCATGCGAAGTCTCGAAGGATCCCGAAGGTGGCCGGGGTGAGGCCGAGATGAACTAGCCTCGTCAGCCCACACAAGCCTCATCGTTGCAAGAAACCAGAACATAGAGTAGTATTTGCGTGAGTCGCCCACCCAGGAACATGCAACGATTCGAATAGTACAGAGTTAGAGGAAAGAAATCCTGAATTATTTACTTCAATTTCTCCGGACCCGGGCCGGCGGCGAGGGCTGAAGGAAGATCAAGCAAGATCGGTCGGCCAAATCCGGACGACTCAAGTATGACGTCCTGCGAGACGAAATCTGCAAAAGACCCTCCAAAACCAAGTCCCTCCGCATCGTCTTATATCTCTCCCTTAACTATTCCTAAATTATTGTTATCTCCCCCTACCACCGCCTCCATCGTCTCCAACAGCGACCACGATGCCCGGTCCCAACGGCGACGCACCACAGTCCCCTGTCAATGGCTTCGACGGGGGCGACAAGACCCGCCTCATCGTCGTCGCCAATCGTCTGCCCATCACCATCTCGAAAGATGACAAGGGCGAGTACAGCTTCAAGATGTCCTCCGGCGGTCTCGTCTCTGCCCTCGCCGGCTTCAAAAAGTCCATGACATTCACCTGGATCGGCTGGCCAGGATTCTACATCCCCCCTAAAGACCGCCCCATCGTCGACAAGCGGCTGCACGAGGAGTTCTCATGCCAGGCCGTCTACCTTGAAGACGAGCTCGCCGACCGACACTACAACGGCTTCGCCAACTCCATCCTCTGGCCGCTACTGCACTACCACCCCGGTGAGATGAACTTTGACGAGGAGAACTGGCTCGCATACCGCCAAGCGAACATGCGCTTCGCAGAGGCGGTGCGGCAGGTCCTGACCCCCGGATCGATGGTCTGGGTACAGGATTACCACCTTATGCTGCTGCCAATGATGCTCCGAACACTCGTCGACGGCAAGGAGAAGGCGGGCGAGACGACCAGGACAGAGCTGCCGAAGATCATTGAGGGGATCGAGGCTGAGGACGGAGGGCTCCCGGAGTCGCAGTCTTTCGAAGGAATCAAGATCGGTTTCTTCTTGCATACGCCGTTCCCCAGTAGTGAGATTTACAGGTGGGTAATGTCACATGACATCCATCCAGCAGATATTTATGGTTCTGCAGAATATTGCCTGTGCGGAGAGAGATTCTACTGGGTCTGCTCTACTGTGATCTCATTGGGTTCCACACATACGACTATGCGCGGCATTTCCTCTCATCATGCACGCGTATCCTCGGTTTACCGACCATGCCCAACGGCGTCGAGTTCGAGGGTCGACTCGCTCACGTCGGCATGTTCCCGATCGGTATCGAGCCAGATTCCTTCATCCAGGTTTGTGCAATCCCTTCTATCCTTCTCGTTCATTATCTCACTCTATTCTGCAGAACTTGAAGAAAGACTCCGTCAAGCAACGGATTGCTCAACTCGAGCAACGATTTGGGGATGTGAAGGTTATCGTCGGTGTCGACCGTCTAGATTACATCAAGGGTGTACCTCAAAAACTGCACGCGATGGAGCTTTTCTTGACGCAACATCCAGAGTGGGTCGGCAAGGTTTGTCGCCGAATCGAATCGCGCAATGTCAGCGGCTGATCCGAGGTTCCATTAGGTCGTCCTAGCGCAACTGGCAGTGCCTTCGCGACAAGATGTCGAGGAGTACCAGAACCTGCGGGCGACCGTGAACGAGCTCGTGGGGAGGATAAACGGCCGGTTCGGCACCGTGGAGTTCATGCCGATACATTTTATGCACAAGAGCTTGCCGTTTGACGAGCTCTGCGCGCTGTACGCCGTGAGTGATGTCTGCCTCGTCACTAGTACCCGCGACGGTATGAACTTGGTACGTACGACCGTCATCGGTCTTGGAAATATAGTCTGACGTGCGATAGGTGTCCTACGAGTACATCGCGTGCCAGCAGGAGCGGCAGGGCGTGATGATCTTGTCTGAATTCGCGGGTGCGGCGCAGAGCTTGAACGGGAGTATCGTGGTCAACCCGTGGGACAGCCAGCAAGTCGCGGATGCGATCCACGAGGCGGTCACCATGGACGCGGAGACGAGGGCGGAGAACCACAGGAAGTTGTTCAAGGTTGGTCCTGCTAGTATTGTGCTTCGATGACATGGCAATCTCATTGGGACATTTAGTATGTGAAGAAGTACTCTGCATCGTATTGGGGGACGTCGTTCATCAAGGAGATGAGCAAGATCCGGTCGCCGGAGGAGGCTGCGCCGGAGAAGGTGCATGAGGAGCTGCAGCCTAATGATGACCCGAAGAGCGGGCTGCTTCACGGGACGAAACCGAGCGGGCCTGAGCAGGCTGCTAATGCTGCGTGATCCAGCTGCTGCCCAGATTTTGTATCTTGTGATTGGTGTTGCTCGAGGGTAATCGCATCGGATGATTCATGCTTGCGGTTCAGGCTGGATCTTCTGCTGCAGGTCCAGTCGATCTTGATTTGCACCCATGCTATGTTGGGTTACACACGTGCAGAGCCAGGGGAAGGACGAAGTTTGTTGTATTGTAGAAGTAGCTCTTTCATTGCATGTTCTAGATGTCATTCTGTATAGTACGATACATTCACGATGAAATCGCAAAGGAAATATTGGCAGAAGCTGAGTGGTTCGTCAAGCGGTTGCCGTTAGGGACATGAGTCATATATAACTTCAAGATCGGAGGACGCAGGGGGGATGTTTAGGACATCGTATCATCGCAGCACATGTACAGGCTGAGGACGCGTCGCGTTAATTAGACGCGTGACGTCACGCGTCTCCGTGGACGAAAATACAGAACGCGGCTTCCCACTGACGTGCAGGAAATCCGATTGACCATGACAGCGAGCTGCACGTATGTAGAGGAAGCTCGGATTAACGATTCCCCATCAAGACAAGAGGCGCGAATGTGGTGAGCACCAGGGACAGGAATGTCAAGATTCCCAACCAGCTTCACAGGAGGCAACGAGGGGACGAGCGGCTGGGATCATGATCAATGTTTTCGTGGAGAGGGCCGTATTTGATAGGTACCAGCGAACAAGGGGGCCGGTTAAAGACTAGTGAGTGAAGGCTTCATCGAGTGAATACAAGTGATATTTATTCGCATAGCACCGGAGAAACTGATATCGTAGCTTTGACTACAAACAATTGGATTGTGAGGCCAATTTCATCGCCGCAGGTCGTCGTCGGGTCCGTCGTAATCCATGCCCCAATCCACGATGCCCAGGGCTCGCCTCATGGTTCTACGCATTTTCCAGTCGACTTTTCGGAGCTGCTGTTCGGTATTGGGGTTTTCATAGCCGCCCCTAGGACTGTCTTCTTGGGGAAGACAATATATCCAATACAGTTCTGGCTCTTGGCCTCCTGTCTCGTAGGAAATATATTCCAAGGAGGGAACAGTCGCTGCTAGATCAGGTAACCACTTTCCGCGTATCGAATCCATATCTGGACGACGATCACCGAGATCACCAACGGTGTCGATGTGAACGTAAGTGACGTGAGCTTCATTTAGAGCATCACGAAGAAAAGGCTATGAGGACGATGCCAGTGGTCAGGCGGCGCGTGCGCTCGGGAAAATACTCAATACGCACCATGGCTTGTAAGGCTCGCGAGTACCGGCCACGCCTAGTAAGAGCGGATCCGAACTTCACCGCGAGATGTCGCAGGCTAGTCAGACTGCGGAACACGGTTTTGTCAAGGCACATCGCTCCAACTCGCTCTGCATCCATATTAAGAGAGAGGAATTTGGGATTGGCGGTCTGCAGGAGCTCAGCATATGCCCTCGGTACTTCGTTACCCAACTCGCTGAATGCTAAGACTCTGATATCCAACTGTATGAGGGGCTGCGTGACCACTCCGGCATTCCAAATGTGCTCTAGATCTCCTCCGACCACTTCCATGGACTTGAAAGGAGGGTTGGTGGTAGCGGGTACCGTAATCGACAGTGGATATGCGTCATGGAAAAGGTGCTTTTGGAGGTCTACCTCGACTCGTATGTGCCTCACATTCGGAAAAGCATGAAGAAGCTCCGACCGATCGAACGTGGAGGTGGACAAAGAGAGCTCATAGACACGCGGCCATTGTCGATTCCGCACGATCGGGAACCTAAAGGATTGGTTATGGGTCCTGGGGTGAACTATAAGGGTGAGTACATCTAGGCTATCTCGGAGAGGCTCCAGAATTGCTCCGTAGTCGACAGTACCAGGAACCGTTCGTAAATACAATCGGCGAAGGCGACCGCGAAACTGGTCGAATAGATTTACATCAATCACATTGTGCAAGTGATCAACGAGTTTCAGCTCCGAGATGTTGTTGCAGTGAGCGGCCAGGCCAACGAAGGAACTCGGGATAGGAATGGTGCAGATAGGAAAGACCGCGGATCCCATCCTAACACTCGCCGATGCCAGATTTGTGGCATGGGGCAAAATCTGTAAGAGCCTGTCGAAGGCTTTGCCCACTGGCATTGTCAGGAAGGCCATTGGCGAGTCTTCATTATCCGATGGCATGAATTCGTCGTCAGCTAGGCTGATCTGGAGGGAGTGCACGAGAGACATTCGTTCCGGGACCCTCTCGATGGAAGTGCAGAAGGATTTTATGTGCCGTCCGAAGCGCAGATAAACATGGCGATATACATTGTAGATTGCAATATCATGCAATGATCGGCAGACCAACGCCAGATGAGAGGCATCTGACGAATGCAGGAAGTCGAGAATTAGCTGGAGTGTGTCGTGGTCGAGCTCTGAGAGTATCATTCTTATGCTGCAAATGTAAATTAGCCCGGCCTGGTTCAGATATACGTGCTCCGGCAGGAGCATCAGATGAAGACCCTCACTCAAGCAAGGTGGCTGGATACCAATGAATCGTTCGAGTTGCGAATGCGACGCGCCGTGACTGTATTGCCTAGTACCAGTGGCAGCGAAGTGTTGTCAGAAAAGTACCCGACACACTTCGCGTTATGGCAAAGATCGCTATATATACACGGGTGGTGGCACGCGCCGGAAACACGCGCCGACTCATAAAAACGCGTGACGTCACGCAGTTGCGGACGCGTCGCTCAGCTTCCACCGGCGCGTCCTACCAGTTCATCGCTCACATATACCCTGCACACCGACATGTCCCTATGGGTTGACAAGGTATACTGAAAAATCTGAAAAATCTGGGTACTAGTGTCTCTAACGCGTTCCGACATTGAAGTACCGCCCCAGAACCCTCGATGATCTTCATTACCATCATGACTTGACAGCCCGACTCAAGTCTCTAGTATGTTACACAACTTCTCTACATTGAAAGACTCTGATATCTTTACTTAGGCTGCGTCAGGAGACTTCCCGCACATGCTATTCTATGGGCCGTCCGGCGCTGGGAAGAAGACTCGGATAGCGTGTACACTTCGACAGTTGTTTGGGCCTGGAGTGGAAAAGGTGTGTTCTGTTTCACTCAGTAATGCCATGCGCTCAAGCCTGGACATAGCTTAGGATCGATCAAAGAGTGTTCCTCACCCCGTCAAAGCGGAAGCTAGACCTGAATGTGGTTCAGAGTAATTTTCACATAGAGATCACGCCAAGGCTCGTCTTGCACAGTCGCACTTATCTTCCTCGAAGCTCATGCATATATACTGTGAACAGCGAAGTCGGCATGTACGATAGAGTGGTCATTCAAGAGATCCTCAAGGAGATCGCCCAAACGCAGCAAGTGGACTTGAACGCCAAACAAAGATTCAAGGGTAAGTCCCCATACCTCCTACGCGTCACATGTCTTTCATGTTCCAACTCTAGTTGTGATCATCAACGACGCGGATACACTATCGAGAGACGCCCAAGCAGCTCTACGTCGCACCATGGAAAAGTACATGAACAACATGCGAATAATTCTCTGCGCAAACAGCACGAGCAAACTGATCGCACCCATCAAAAGTCGATGCTTGTTGGTTAGGGTTGCAGCGCCGAGCAGTGAAGAGGTATAGGAAACTACCTCTCTACGAGGCCGTCTGGCTAATGGTCTTGTGTTTTCGCGGGGCAGATGCACAATGCCCTGGAGTACGTAGCGAAGCGGGAGAAATTCGACCTTCCTCCAGAGGCATCGCAACAAATCGTGGAGGATTCAAATGGTAACCTGCGGAAAGCAATTCTAGTGCTTGAGGCACTGAAGATGCAGTCGTAAGTTGAACGACCCTTTTCGGAACCACACAGCTTAACTCTGCTGGCTAGGCCTGACCTCTCAGGACCACTGAGCATTGCGAAGCCTGATTGGGAAACGTATTGCCACAAGGTTGCCGATATGATAATCCAGGAACAGTCGCCGCAGCGCGTCATGGATGTGCGAGCAAAACTCTACGAGCTTCTGAGTCACTGCATCCCTGCCACCGTTATACTCAAGGTAAGAGGTTTACAACTTCTACCATGGAGTGGTCGTTCGCTGAGCAAGTCAAAGACGGTAGCGGAACGCGTGGTGGATAAGGTGGATGAGAGTATAAAGGCAGATATCATGCATTGGGCTGCTATATACGTAGGTGTTATCTTACCCTTGCAAGGAGTGATGTACTGACTTCTGGTTCCAGGAGGTGCGCATGAGACAAGGGAACAAAAAGATATTCCACCTGGAAGCATGGGTGGTCAAGGTGATGAGCTTATACAAGGTACATCCTAGATGAATAGCTTAATACATTTCGCGCCACCACTAATGCTCTTTCCCTTACTGTAGCACTCCTTCTACGGTATCGATTTGGATGATTTTGAGGAATAAGCATCTTTCTTGCCTTGGTGCCGTGTAGTATCTATCTATCCCTGTATCCATATCTACCGACTCATAATATCTCACTGGCCGACGTCATGATTGGACGTCGTACTCTTCATCGACTGCTTCGAGGAAATCGAGCATCTGCGTATAAATCAGCATTTAACTACCCTTCCTAGAGAACCGAATGCGTACCAACTGATGCCTATTCTGTCCTAACTGCCTCCCCGGCTCAGTCTTCAGTCTTTCCCGGATATGAAGCAATTTGTCATGGAAATGCTGTATGGCCGACTCCTCGAAGCCTGGGGCGCCGACGGGGATATGCAGTGCTCTGAGACCCTCAAGTTGAGTACAATGACTACCGATCGCGAGCCGTATGTTCGTACCGGTTGGTAGCGGCACTGAAAGCGGAGCAGCGCATAATACCGAACGCCCCTATGGCATCAAGCCTGTCTGCATCCTGCACGCAATGCAGCTCCAGGCACTCATCGTGCCAAGTACCCCACTCGCCCGTCTGCCTTCTCTTTTTCTCGGTACTCCATGAAACGTTATCGACGATCTTAGCTATTTCCTTCGCCCTGCCGTCGCTCACGAAGTCGATTTGCGATGCCTGGGCCCACGTTCGAAAGAACGGTAGGAAGTACGAGTATGGATCTGCCGCTTCCTCTGCTGAGACGTACTTCTTGTCCAGGACGTCGTGCAAAAGGGCAGCTAGTTCGACCGTAAGTAGGTCTGGTTGCTTCTGGGAAGCACTTTCCGAGGAAATGCTCCTTGCTAGGGATAACGCTGTCTTACGGACGCGTTCCACTGGAGGCCGTGTTCATAAGTGATTGAGCATGCACTAACACGTCCATATTTTACGACCGAATTATTTGAAAGCATAGGCTTACCGTGGTACGCGTCATGAGAGGGGTCGTATCTGGCCATAGTCTTTTTCATCAGCTGCTCGGCAGCCTGAATCACCGAAGCTTCAGCCTTCGTAGGGTACATCTCTGACACCAAAGCAGCCACGGAGTTCAGAAGTGTCTGGGCAATATATGTGGATTGAGACGCGTGAGACGCGTCCGACGCGCCGCCACCGGACGCGTTACATTAGGCGCGCAGACACGTGTCATCAATCCCGAGGACGCGCTGTCTTCTCCTCGCGACCGTGACTGGCAATGGCGGCCGTGAAAGCACATCGAATCCAGAAACTGTGCGCAGCTGTGCTGCTCTTTTCTGCTGTCTCGATAGCATATGCGCAAAGAAGCCAAAAGGAGGACTTACTCATCGTTCGAGTGAGTACTGGCCGTATCCTGAACCTGGGAGTCTGATGGAAGTTGTGCTTACTTGCGCATTTGCCTTAGGAAACCGAGATACGGGAATGTCAGCCCGTACAGCAGCTAAACGTGCTGAAAGCTCGGCTAGCTGAGGGCGAATCGCCTATCATGCGCCAAGTCTTCGCATGGCTATTTCCCTTTGGTCCTGGATGGAATTCCGGTATGTTCAGTTATGCACTTACTCCGGTGATACTGGAACAAGAGGTGACAGTCAAATTGCAGTACTGGGTACCTTCTATATTAGCTCGTGGGTTGTTCCCGTGGTCCGACCGTACCCTAGCTTCATGGGTGGCCGGTCTTTTCTAGCGTCCCTAATTTTATCCTGGCCTTTATCCCGGCCGAAATCAACTCCAACACGCTCAACACCATGACAGCGTTTGCGGCGCGTCCCATTTGATATTTTAATCCTCTCCTTTGCTCTGAACTATCCATGTAGACAGGCGGCCTTCTATCAGACGTCTTCCTGCACCTTGTGCCGCACTCGTTTATGGGCGAACACCAAGACGAGAGCGTGCATTTCGTAATGGTCCAAGAAAAGAGGAATATTCTCGTAGGGTAGCTGCATTACGTTTCGGTCTGGCACGCACGTTCACCGACACTTTTCTCTCAGGCTGGGTATATTCGTCGGGTTCGCCTCTTTCTTCATGATGGAGAAGACTCTGCGAGTGCTTGGCGGTGACTCGGACGCACCGGGTCACTTGCATTCGCACTCCCATGCTCCCAGCCCGGCCGAGCATGCTCATACCTCAGGCGTAGAAGTCACTTCGACGGGAAGCGACATCCGCATGCGCGGAGAGAAGAGCTCAGAGGTCGCTGACACATCTGACCTAACGAAGCTCCAGCAGAAAGAACCGGCCGGCTCCGTCTCGAAGCTCTCAGCCTACTTGAATCTTTTCGGAGACTTCGTACACAACATGTGAGGGACTCCTTTTGCCCATCTGCCTGCCTTTCCTGATATACACGGCCCTATAGCACCGATGGATTGGCGTATGTGACGTTAACTACGGTTTATGCGGCTGTCACTAAGGACCTATAACCCAGGATGGCCGCTTCTTTTTATTCCTCCCCCCTTATAGGCGCGACGACCACCCTAGCGTGCTTCGCGCATGAGATTCCACACGAAATCGCGGATTATTCAATTCTTATACGGTCCGGCTTCACGAAGCGCCAGGCCATGCAGTCGCAGTTTATTACCGCTGTCGGAGCTTTCGTACGCTACATTGTCCCCGTTGAGATCCGGGTTATTTGTACTGACCTTGTTCGGTTAGATCGGGTATAGTGGCTTCGTTTCATGCCCCGCCTTGTAACTCAAGAGTCTCCCGTTATGATAGAACGTTCATGGGTATCGCCATTCACAACATGGCTGCATCTGGCAGTGAGACGAATGAAACCACCGACCTAGCTTCTGCTCTCCGGCAGACTGCGTCTGGTATACTAGGAACTACTGTTCAGGCTGCCGACTTGGTCAGTCACTGTTTTATTTTTGCTCTACCACCCTATAGGTATTGACGGTATATGTTCTCTGATTTTATGATCCGCTTGATCCATTCGTATAGGTCATCCCGTTCGTCGCCGGCGGTTTTCTGTACATCGGAGCCGTTGCCGTGCTCCCGACGTGAGTATTTATGTCTTTCCACGCTCAAATGGACCAGTGCTGACGCCCAAGCAAGGCTGCTAGAAGACAGCAAAAGTGGCAAACAAGCGCTGCGAGAGGTCTGGACTGCTTCCACTCGCACAGTTGTCGTATTGAACTTTCTCGCCATAGTTCGGGGCTATGGCCTTCGGTGTCTTATGCATGTTCCTAGTTGCGTGAGTACATTGCTGTCGGGCATCTAGAGCGCTGCTAATAGATCCCTCGTCCTCAAAGATGGAACGAATAAACCGTATCCGGTGCTCGGTATTGATACGGCATGCTTCTCTGGTGTTTCGTGGGGGTCGAAGGGTCGATCGCAGTCATCTCAGCAAACTCCGAAAGCTTCGCTATGAAAGACCCGGTGGTAGATCTACATTAAGTCGGTCGTGTAGTCCGCTGGCCAGTGGGATTAATGTTATAAAGCTTATGAAAGAGAGATCACGAAATAGTAAGGCACCACCCAAGATGACGTTTCTGAGAAGGCATCATCACGGGCGGCTTGCGTTGCTGGTTTGCCGAGGAACGTGCGAGAACGGAGGACGCCTGTTGGTTGCCCTCCACAAATGCCTTCCGCCGCATGCCAAACCCTCCGTAAATTAGCCACACGCCTGCAATAATTCTTCGAGCATACGCTGCACTCGCTGCCTCCAGTTCTTACCTTACACTGCCTAAAGCGCGAATTAACTGCCCCCGGTCCTCCGTTTGTGCGTCTTCTAGTGCTCTTCGGTGCTGCGCGCAAATTGGCCCGTCTTTCCTGGCGTGCGCCTTCGACTCACAGCTACTGTGTTTCATACAGATTCCGTATTTTTCAGCTGCTTGGTCGGCGATCTAATACCCTTCAAGTTCCTGACATCTCGTGCCCGGCGTGCACCCGCCTTCCATCACGCCCTTTCACTCAAAACCGCCAGGTGTCTCAGTCACCGATCCTTTTCAGTCGCATCGACAACTCGTCCGCTCGCCTTCTACTGTCGTACGCAACACCGGCGGAGACGCCTGCCTCATTATCTCCGCAGCGTCTTCTCGTAATACTGAATCCAAACTGGCTATCGATCGCTTGTCGTCGAGAACCGCAACCATGAGCAACAAGGGTCGCTCAACGCCGCGTGTCGTGTGCTGCGCCATACCCATAGCGAGGGCAGCGGGAAAAGTCCTGATAATCACCAGTCGTAAAAGGCCGGATAACTGGGTCTGTGAGTGATCGATTCTTTGGCCCGTTTTATCAGTCATCTGCTGTCTTCTCCGCACACACATTCGCTCTTCTTTCATCTTGATAATGACCGTGGAAACTAACATATTGCGTCTCCTCATCTGGGTTCATCCGTGATAGTGCCGAAAGGAGGTTGGGAGCCGTCGGATGGAGTGTTGGAGGCAGCAGCGCTGCGAGAAGCCTTAGAAGAAGGTCTCATCCTTTCTCCTTCTCTTCCTCTCCCCACCCCCTCCTGATGCCCTCTCGCCCTGTCTCCCCATGCCTTACATTGTCTGTCCATTACAGCGGGCGTTCGCGGCAAGATCACCCGATTCGTGACCACCATCCCCTCCGCGTCGTCAACGTACCACTTTTACGAGTTGGATGTGGCGGAGCTCGATCAGGAATGGTTGGAGAGCAAGGAGAGGAAGAGGGAGTGGGTGGACTACGCAGAGGCGGTGCAGCGGGTGTCTTGGAAAGCCGAGCTGGCACAAGGACTGTCGCTGTCGTCGCTGGCGCCCCCTCGCCGGTGACCCCGGCGCCGCGGGAGGTGGTATCCAGGCCGAGGGCGAGGACGAGGCATCTTCGAATTCACGCCCAAAATCCACGCTTCCGACACGCCACAAACTCTCATCGTCGTCGCATTCAACAAACCGGAACTCATCACTCACCATAGAATCGCCACTCTGTCCTCGCTCGCATCCCGTACCTTATCCGCCCTGAATTATTTTGAAGATACCTCGACGCGGCTTGGCATAACGTCGGGTCCTCACTGTCCGGATGTCACCCTTGTTCAATCATGATCTCTCTGCATCTATCGCTTTGCATGTACAATCTAATCCTCGCTCGCAGTAGTATAGACACGTCCCGGCTTCTATCATGGACTCTGCGTATCGTATTGCGTTGATATAGTCGTCGGAAGCCGGGACATCATAATCTTATGCATGCTCAATACCTCTCGGCACTGCAGTCACTGGTAATATCTATTCGTACAGAACGCGATATTTCTGCCTGAATTCTGACCTTCGTGCAGTCGTTACGCATCCGAATGTACCCGCTGATGGCATTGGCACCCGATGTGCACCGTGCACGATCCTGCATCTTGCTACGTCCCTTCAGCTTGCCTTAGGCTTCAGCTCTGCAATGCACGTTCCTCTGTCTTACGGACCCGGACAACATCGAGCGCCAAAATTCAGTGCTATCAATACCGAGAGGAACACCATATGGTACTCCCACCCAGGCACAGGATGCCGTTGATAGGCCATATCTCACTGACGGGCGACGCCAAATGATACTCCCGACGCCCATCAACCAGCTCATATATAAGGCCGTGGAGGGGAAAATGGGGGCGTGCAGCATTCTGTGCCTGCTCGTCGAGGATGTTCGTCTGGTCCCTCCTGACTATCCTTCCCTTGCTTGTTGCTGCCGCGCCCGCCTCGACCAAGGAGGAGGCCATATGGGACAGGCTAGGCAACTTGTCCCCTTACCACCCGGCACCCGTGCCCTCAGGGATGAATGTGGAGTTGCCTGGGGACTGTAAGGTCGAGCAGATCATGTATGTGAGTATTCAGACTGTATCCAGTGTATTCCGTGCTGAGCCCTTGGATGCTATAGCTGGGCAGACATGGCTCTAGATACCCCTTGGCATCTGAGTTGGTTTACATTCAGAACTTGACGTACAAGTTGGGCAACGCGTCCGCTGCTGTTGCGAGGGCGAAGCTGCCTAAGAGTATGCAGTTCCTGAAGGAGGGGTACAGGACTACGCTGGGCCATGACGATTTGACGGCACCCGGCAGGCTTGAGCTTTTCAAGCATGGCGTCAAGTGAGTTTTTGCCTTCATGCTCATGTGGGTGCCTCTCTGACCGTGGAGTAGTTTCCGCTTGAAATACCCTCAGTTCAATGCCACGAGCATTCTTGCGGGTGGTCAGGATCGGGTATTCACTCAGGATAAGTACGGAGTTGTATAGGATCCTGACAGTATGAATAGGTCATCGAATCTGCTCAGTGGTTTGCGAATGGCTACTACGGTCGCACCTGGCCCAATATCTCATCCACTGTGTTCTCTGAGATAGCCGAAAACAATGTCACGGTATCGTGGATCACGCCTATGGATACTTGCCCGAAGTGGGACTATAATTATGGTAATAATGTACGTTGCCTGCCACCCATGTCCTCGTCTATCTCTTACCTCCCGCTATATCATAGGCGACTATTAAATGGGGCAGCATATACTTGCCCCCGATTACAAAACGGTTAAACAGCCTGCTCCCGGGCGTTAACCTAACGGACAACGACACCCACGGCGCTCTTTACGCATGCGCGTACGACCTGGCGGCTTACGACGTGTCGCCCTGGTGCGACGTATTCACGACGTCGGAAATTCAGAATTTTGAATACGAGTTGGACTTGCTCATGGACGGCGCGTTCGGGTATAATCTGCCGGGTGATATGGGACCCCTGCTTGGGTCGCTCTATGTCCACACGCTGATTGATCGGTGGGTCTCGCCACTTACCTTCTGGATTTCTATGCCAGTTTGCTCATAACACAACCGCTAGTTTCTCGAACTCAAGTGCCGAACCTGTATATCTCGAGTTCGGGCATGATACAACCATTGATATGGCTCTCACCGCTCTAGGTCTTGCAAAGTGAGTTGTCAGCGTGGTTCTAGCTTCCGATCGACATCCTTATGTCGCCTTGATTCAGGGATACGCCTCCCCTGTCCGCAACTGGCCCCGTGAACCCGAACCGCAAGTTCCGTACTTCGACCCAGGTCCCCTTCGCGGCTCAAATGCTCTGGGAGAAAATTGCCTGTTCCTCCACGTACGTAGCTTGCAAGATCCTGTGGCTATTCTTCCATCTGGGCTGACGGAGACTTGTATATATAGATTCCATGGTCCCCAGATCAGGCTAGTTCTGAACGACGCGCCATTCCCGCTGTCCACTTGCGCCCAGTCTAAGACGGACAAGACGTATGGTACCTGCTCGTTCGACGCTTTCGTGGCGGCGAATAACTTCAGCACCTCTGTAACATGGGGTGACTCAGCATGGAACTCGACGTGCGGGAACCCTGGGTTCTAGGGCGTTGGTTTCCGGCCTTCGTTCATCACATTTTATCAGGATATGATGAGAAGGTCTTTGCCTGCCCTTGGACTGACTCCTTTGAAAAGTGTGATCTATGGAAGGCGTGAAATGTGAGTGTCACTGGCGCTTCGTCCTCTCTTCGTCTAGTTCTGGGGAAAGGCGTGAGTTACTCAGTTAACCAGGCATGGTTCCTACGACTCGTCCATTTCAGTTAACCCGGGAGGCCCTTGAGCAGGATGCACAATTAGGCTTCCCAGATCGTGCGTTGTCACAGCACGTGAAGGATCGTCACGCGTATATGCGCGTATGTCATGATTTTGGCTTGGCGTGCAACGATCTTGTCCTGGATCCACCGCACTCCGGTCTATTGCTACGCGTTACCTGAAGTTATTGTCAGTGAGCAAGCTTTCTAAAGTGATGACCCATCAATCTATGAAACAATTGTACGGATGGTGAGGGCCGTTTATCGTGCCTTTCCACGTACAAAAATGCTTCCTGCACATTTGATATTGACCAACCTGGTCCACGATATCTCTGGTTCAAATTGGGGTGAATGCTTTGCATCAAAGTTCATTAATGTTTCACAAGATGGCGAAGTCATGACTGGTGCGGAGACCTGCACAAGTCCCAGTTGTCCCTATGTAGTCGTTAAATCATCAAATACAGCTCTCTCTTCCAGATAGACTCGCTCATATTCCGAAACATCGGCCTCCAATCCATAACTCCCGGCCACTTGCTGACACACCTTTGCCCTCGCCATCCCTACCAGACACGCAATCAGTCTTCTTGCACCATCCTGATCAGTACCGAGCTCCATCTGGCTTGGATGATCCCTGTTCGTGTTGACGATGACTCCCTCGACGACGTCAATCATGGCACCTCCTGGCATAGGCCGCCGATACACGTGCACCAGCTGGAAGAACGGTCCTCGCAATACCACCTCTTCCTCCGGGTACGCCGAAAATTCCTGGATAAATAGGGCGGTAGGGCCGTGCGAGCACGGCAGAGCCCGCTACCGTAGATATAGATTGATATTTGGTAGCAAGCTGAACACTTCACATCCTGAGCAGCGTCATATATATATATTTTGCGAAAGCAGCTGTGTTCCAGCAATTATTTCTGACTGAGCATTCAACTCAATGGCCTGGAGTCCTGAGAGATGTCCACTCATCCCTCCCTCAGGTTTCGAGAATACAAGTTACATATGCAAAACAACTGACAGCGGGGTATTCTGATTTCACCTTGAGACCGCAAGGTCCAAGGCCCCAAGCAAGGTCAGTTCTTGACAGTCATCCGCCACCTTGGCTATAAAGGGGAAGAGAAATGACACGTGGCGTGACTATCGGGGTCCTTTAAGGACCCCACCTTTGATTGGTCCAAAGCCCTGTCCCGCTCTTGCCGTTCACCATATACGGTTAAGCGCCAAATAGTGTCAAATAAATCGCGTAGATCTTGAAACGATCGCAGGAAACCTGCGAACGGCCGGGGGGTCCAAGACCCACTACCTACGGTAGCGGGCATCGGTATCGTAGCGGCGCAAGCGCCAATCCCCGACTCCAGTCAGAAACCATCAAGTATTCCAGGTACTTGTGTCTGGTCAAGTTGCGGAATGCCAGTCTTGACGCGTACGGACACATACATCGATATAGTCCTGTCTTATATCTACATCAATATTTAAAGGGGTTTCCTCCCAGTCCCCGCTCAGAGATACTAGTCTCATTTGTCAGCCTCACTTGTGTCAATGCATCCTTTCATCGAATGCTACGCACTGCATCACTTTGACCTTTCATGTCAGGTGTGTGTGGGCAGTTGTCTTCAAGTCAAAACGAAAGTGGCGTCGGTCCGGTCGGGACGTTGCTTACATGAGGTTCTCACGGCGAGAGCGAGTTGTATGGTGGAGCGACCATTTCTTCCCGACAGAACCCTCCTCCCAACTACCGTGGGAGTCGGGGACTGCACACATTGTTGTCACGACGCTCATAGGGTAGTATTGATGATAAACACGGAGGAGCTCTGGGTCTAGGTTAGCGACGTGGATGCGCCACAGGACGGGGTGCATATGCTCCGTCCCATGAGCGGTCGCCTGCTGGAGGGCGAACTTTACCGCGATGTCTTCATCCATACTGCAGGATACGATTGCTAGGGGAATAGACCAGAATCTCTCCCTGATGGGCATGCGGGCCAGCTGGTAGAATGCGTCGAGCTGCACTGTGGAAAGGCACAGACCTCGATGGACAGTCCCGGTAAACCCGACATCCCTCATCCCCTGCTCGGTGATGTATTTGAAGAGTTCTATATTCAAGAGCTCCACGAAAAAGACGGCAGACACCAGCCGCTCATTATCGATGTCGTGAGTGCGGAAGACTTCGTTGATGATCTTGAAGGCATGTAAATATCCCACTGGAGTGGTGTATAACCGCAGGAGACCATAATCCTCAGGGGGGTCGCCGCCCCGTCGTCTGTCAGACCACTGCTTGAACCGGGGCAGAGTGTCCAAGATAGGAGAGACGGTTTCATGTTCACCGAGCTGCAAGAGCAAGTCGCGCAAGCGGGACAGAAAATCGGCATAAAGATGCCAATTTCCCCGAACGTGATGGATAGCTTCGCGAATGTGGCTCATGCGCATATCAACCTCTTTCCCGTTATAGAACGACCGCAAGGATCCACCGCCATTTCCGACAGTGAAGAAGCTCGACGTTGAGTCGGTGTCGCCGAAGCGAGCCAAGCGCGTCTGCAACAGGAGTGGTGATCGAGTGTTCAATTGCAGAGTGGGGATG